TATCTGTTAAAAAAAATATTGAACGCAATAGTGTATTATATGAGTGGGTCCACAAGAGACGGTCATAAGAACTCTGAAATATAATATATATTTGTTTTTAAGCTGTGGTCGGGCGCCAGTGGTATGGTCCGATTTACCCTTTTCATTAATCTTTATAAACTTTGTTATACGGATACAGCATAGTAATGTCATTTCCTATTGTTAAAATGTTTATACTATACAACTTCTTCCTTAACGAAGGTAAGTCTTTTCTTCATATGTACCTAATGTAAAACTAAATATATTTTTTAATTATCCTCTAATCTGTTTTAGTATATTATTTTATTAACCCTCTCATATTCTGTGACACTAAATAAAGTCCAGCGTACTCCATCTTTGGTCTCGGTATCTGGTGTGCGATTCCACCAATTTTCCATGTATAACACTTATACTGAACTTGATGATTGAAAGTGTGAGATGTTATAAAGGTAGAAATTGTTTCCGAATATTTTTTCAACCATATGAATATTTATACTTGGTTTGTAATATTCTAACAGATGATGATATTTAGTCAATCAATTATTAGACCGTAACAATAAGGCATGTCAATCCATCGTATTATATAATGCTTACTAATACGTTTTCTAGAATGAATGTCAATATCAGTAATAGAATTGTAGGGTAAATAATCTGATATGATACTAATACTGATGGGGTTGATAAAAATAAAATATTTCCTCTTTGTTTTTATGGGCAATAGAGTATTAATTTATTACCAGCCGTAAGTAGTATAGTAACCAAAGAAAATAAAAAAAAAAATAAACAAACAAATATATTTTTTTAAATATAATAACAATACGAATTTGACATTGACCTATTTCTTTTTTACCATAGTTATTTTTAGGGCTGACTTACTCAATTGTTGTATATCGCTTAACATTAAAACGGGTTGTGTCAACATTTCAGAACTATAAGTATATTTTAAAAAGGCTTTAAACTATTTAATTACATTTTGTTATTATTATATACTTAGGTATTTAATGATTATATTTTAGAATTATACATAGTGAAAATGTATCTTTCACATTTGAATCATTATTGTTCTTAAATATCCATAGAACTTTTTCATGAATTTAAGTTTTATATCAATACAATATTTAAAATAATTTATTTATTAAAAATACAATTTTTCATTTGTTTATTAAAAAGAAAATAATTTATGCAACTTATTTTATTAATTTATAAATTTATAATTAAGTAGATCTCACTGTTCAGATTCGAAGCTATTCTTGCTCATTTAAGTGTATTCATAATTTATTATAACTTAAAAACATACCTTTTAAACGTGTATTCAATAATGTAGCGCTTGCGTATAAACTGTATGAAAGACGATTAAATTTGTCTCTTGTACGTTATTATACCTAAGTACGTAATTTGTGATTAAACTGTATTTTATATTCGAAAATACGTTTAACTATATTTGTGATAATTACTGATACTTAAAAATAAAATTAGTATTTATGTTTTTCTTATCAAAAATCTTAAATCATATAAATGCTATTTTTTTTTAAGCTACAACGACGTGTTTATGTAATAAAGTATTAATTAATAAAAAATAATAGTAAAAAAAAAAAGATTTATGATAATTAAATTATGATATTAAAAACAATAGCATTAACGTATTTTTAATTTATTTTCAGTTTTCAAATACTATACTCAGAAATTATTGTATAATAATGCTGTGGTAGTAAGTTTTAAGTTCATAATATTAACATAGACAGTTCAACATTGCCTATTTTTGCCTACAACAAGAGTTTCGCTATATCGTTTGGCTATGGTTTAACTGTAACATCGTGGCATGTTTAGTTTGTACATTGTATAATATTATTATTATACCTAATGAGAGCATTGCAATACGTACTCATAGGACGATTACGTTTATAACTATGAAAGCTATTAGTGATAACGCCGCCATCGGTGTAAATTTATGATAATATTTAATTCACTTCGCGAGCCACACTTTAACGCTTTCAACAACGATCGGTGGCACCTCACTTATTGTCGTGTAATAATTATAATATTCTGCATATAATATGTTATAAAGGAACATAAAACCAAAAAAAGATCGAAGATTTCACGTGTTCGGATCTATCTGAGTTCTACCTACGTATTTTCACATCCTTGTCAGTATAACATAATATATTATACTCGACCAAGTCAACCATATTCTAATGTAGACACGTAACATATTATACATACTATATTATACACATATATAATAGGCATAAGTTAAATAACGAAACGTCAAGTGCGGCGAACGGATCGATACTAGCGTGTAATTTAATTTTCAACCACGATGCTCCGAAGATTCCACGATATGGATTACCGCGATGTAGGTTTAATAATATTATACCGTATTGTATTATGCACGATGAGGAATACGTTGCTATTAGCCGTCGCTGGTGATTCGCAAACTACAAATGCACAAAAATCACATACACATATATATTATATACTGCAGAAAATACGGATCGGGTTGGTTTGCGACGGCGATGGATACTCATCATCAGTGAACTGGTCCCTGCAGACCCATCGACGGTATGTGTGGTTGATATCGACGGATCCGTGTCGGGAGTGACACTTTTATTTGCCGCGCCTTAAACAACGATCGCGCGGAATCTGATATCTGAAAAAAAAAATAAAAAAAAAATAATAATACGCACGACGACGAAACTCGTGTAAATTCTCCGGTCGTGTGTGCAACACCAGTGTGGTGCATAACTCGATGTACACGTGTTATTCGTTTTAACGGCGTTATTGTAGAGTTGTATTCACCGTTGTATATAGTGTTGTATAAGTACTTGTAAATCAGTGTAAAACGAAACGGCGAATGCACAGCTCCTGTGCACACGAGTATGTGTATATAACATATTAGCATGTAGATTGTAGGTATCTGTTAAAAAAAAATCAATCTGTAATCGACATCGTTCGATCGTTCACGAGGTATTGCATCATACCCCGTGTGATATCGATTCGTTTACGTTCGCGATGACTTGAGGGTTATGGTTTCTCGCTCAAATCTGAACGCTCGTCGCGACGCAGATCAAGTCTGACATTATTATTTGTGCCAATTAAAACCGTCAAATCTGATATTATATAGTTTTTATCTCGAGACATTGTTCAAACTGCAGAACGGTCTGCAACAATAGTCACAATAATACGTTATTGTTATTGATCAATAAATATAGTGGCGTGGTTGATACCAAACGTCCAGTCAACCACGGTTCGACGGGCACCCTGCAGTTATACTGCACGTTATACGTCAACGTCGATTTTTAGAAATTTTTACGTCGCTGCAGGTTTAATTTTCCACGTGCCCGAGGGGCGTAGGTTTCCGTGATTGAAAAACGTGTTTGGGGCAGTTATATTTCCCTCGCCGTCGTCCACCGCGCAACTGTTTGTGCCAGAGCAGGTACCTATATACCTATATAGGTGCTGCGCGGACATCTATATGTAATAACAAATATGAAAAATTCATGAGAAAATTTGACGCGGACACAATTGCACATGACGTGTCTAGTGTAGAGTAGACGTGCGGAAATAGAATAGAACGCGCGTGACTGATACATTAGGTAATACATTATATATATATATATTATATATATATTTGTACAGTATA